TATTTATAAAATATTTAATTTTGCCTTATTGAAATTTCCAGGGTGTGAAAAGAAAAATATTACATGTCAGAGAATTATCAAAAAACAAATACCATTTTTCTGATATGATTTTTATTCTTTTTATATTCATTGAAATAAAAAAAAATAAATGTCAGACAAATACCACATGATCTCACTTTTATGTGGAATGTGATAACTGTAGAATACATAGAGACTGTGGAGAGATGGTTACCAGGGCTACAGAGGGAGGGGGGGGATAGGGAATTTCAACTCATTAGACTCTCTTCCGTTCTGTTTGATAGTATCAAGTTTGAGAGTATCGGCAACTACTTTGAAGGCAATAAGATTCACTATGATGCCCATTCTGGTTTGACTATTATCTTCTTTTGAAGTCCCATAATGTTTCCAATGTTTAGGTTTTATTGGTCTTGTTCTGTACTGTTTTGTTCAATTTTATTATACCTAATGATATAGGCAATTCTTTTTAAGGAAGCAAGAGCATTATGGTAACCATTGTTGATAACTTTGTATTCTGTTTTTACATCATGTGCTATGTCCATCTTTTGTTTTGACTAACTGCTTTGTTTTGTCATATTTGGTTTTATTCTCTTCCAAAAAAAAGTAATAAGAACTATGGGAGCAATAAAACCCAAAATGTGTAAATTTTGCTGTAAAAAAGAGAGGGAAAAAAAGTGCTCTAAAGGATGCAGCAGCAAGTGTGTTCAGGACTAATAAGCCAGTGTTGTGGACAAATCTATTGAAAATAACAAGAGAAAACATAGTAGCTACGGAAGATCATTTATATTGTAGTTTTATATGTCTTATCCATTGCATGTTTTTCTAGGAAATTGTTTTGCTGTCTTGTTATGACTTGGTTTTCCCTATAATACAGAGAGGATAGGAACAAATACTCTGAGGAAGAGACGCTGAGAAACCCGAGGCTTATTTTGTAGCATTATAATATAAATTCTAGCAATCTATTGTTTGCTGATTAGAATGACATTGGACTGGTTTCTTCAGTTCAACTTCAGCATATGCAGAGATGGGGGATATGGTTAATCTTACCCTCTTTGAGATGTAAAACAAATGTGTAGGACTGATAATCATATTACTGAGCTTTTGTTCGATCATAGAGCAGAATGGTTTGTAGGGTCACTTTTTTGAATGTCATTCTAAATACTTTAATTCTATAACCTGAACAGCTATTTCAAAGATGACAATTTGTAACTTATCAACTGGCAATTTCTTACCTTTTGTTTGTCTGTAATTTTGTATTATTTCTACCCTTTTTTTTTTATCTCCATGTATTTTTTTTTCGTTTCCTTTTCTTTAAATAAAATAAAAAAAAAAAAAAAGATAGATGACCATATTACTGACTTTTTGTTGGATCACTGAACACAACTGTTTGCAGTCTCATTGTTTGAATGTCTACTTTGTATGCTTTAATCCTGTAACTTGAGCAACTATTTCTAAGATGACAATATGTAATCTACTAACAGATGATTTCTTACCATTTTTTTTTGTAATTCTGTATTACTTGTACCCTTATACTGTTTTTTTTTTCTTTTAAATAAAAAATTAAAAATAAATAAATAAATAAATATCTCTTGCCACCTTACTTTCCCTACAGAAAGTTTTGTGATCATCTGTTAATAGCTGTGTGGGTTTAACATTATTTTTAAACCTCAAAATTTTTTAAATGTGCATTCTTACACAATTTAGCTGTTTTGTGTGATGGAAACTGTAATATGATTTAACTTGAATTAGAAAAATAAGAGATAATAAGAAACAGATATGGGAAGGGGATCTAGAGATGAAGAGAGAGAGGAGAAAGAAAAGGGAAGTAAAGAACGTTTTAAGTGTGATGTCCATGGACCAACTTCCCACAATGAGTGTAATCACAATGTACTGCACACATGTATTAATAAAAAGTACCTAGAAGATAAAGGATGTTCCATTTGTCATGATCATAGTCACCACTTAATTACTCAGTTTTGTATATAAAATCACATGCTTGTATATGTATATAAATAGAAATAATGTGTTTATATACAAATCAGCATAGAACGTATACTTATGAATATTCACATGTATAAAGAAGTAATACTATATCTTAAATACGTTGTGACAGCCATATGCTTTTTGCGAGCTATTTTAATTTGCATTCTGTAATACAGAAATTGATCTGTAATTCATGTACTCTTTTATCTACTTAAACATTCATCTACCCATTCACTTATTTTTGTTTTGCATGAATTCATTCTGGACTTCCTGAATTTATGATCATTGCTCTTCTATACAAAGCAGATATTATGAGCAATTGATTTTTTGAATTCTTATGCTCTTGAAAATATGTATATGCTTTATATTAGTGAACCATTGGTGCCTGGGAGAGGTGCCAGTTAAGGATGGAGGTATAAATCAGATTAGGAATATATATATATATATTTTTTTTTTTTGAAAGCTGATCTGAGTCTGATTCTATTGTTTTGAGGTCAGATTGGTAACAAAGGCTACAAACAGGATGTTATCAGCCAGAACAACAGAAAAGTAGGCTGCTCACCTGTAGGCAAGCAATAATAGGGAATAAATTTGAAGTTCATGTTGGTTTACATATTTAATCTCATAGCATAATTAGGAGGCAGCTACTGTCAGCTTTGTAAGTGTTTTCATAATCAACCAACCACAGTATAAAAATATTTAAAAATTAAAATGCATCTTACTAAACATGTTCAGACATTTTATTTGACATTATTCCTTAAACAATGTATTGTAACAGCTATTTAAATAGCATTTACTTTTTTAGATATTATAAGAAACTTAAAGAACATTTAAAGTATATCTAACATATAAATGGTGTACATATTCCATGTGCACTTCAATGCTAAGAAATTCCAAAAACTTTGTAAGATACAGCTGACATCATGGAACTCACTTTTCTACTAAGAATCCTCCAACATCTGCCATTTGGAATACAATACAAACATTTCCCCAAGATCTTCCAGAGATGAATTGTTTCCTGTTGCTTTAGTGACAGTCATTCTCATTCTCTCTCTCTCTCTCTCTCTCTCTCTCTCTCTCTCTCTCTCTCTCTCTCTCTCTCTCTCTCTTCTTTCTCTCTCTCCTGATATTCTTGTTTCCAAACATGCAGTTTGTTCCTACAGTGCAGGTTTTTGCATTTGCTCTTGCTGGCTGTAGCATTTCTTACCATATCTTTGCATAAAGTTTTCCTTTGTCATTTTTTGATCTCCATTTAAGTTATATGCATCTAAAGTTACTGCCTTGAACCCTAATATCATGTATTTTCTTTATCACACCAATGTGAAATCTTTTCCTTGTATTCTAGACAGTTGACCATAAGCTCAACGAAAACAAGTTCCTTGACTGATAGATTTCTCCCCTAGTTCTACAACACAGCCAGTGACATGTTATTATCTGTAACTATTCACTGTACAAGGAATAAAGTATAAAAGCTATAAAAAAGCATTATTATAAAGTTTGGTCCATTACTAGACCTATTTTTTAATGGGATGTGAATTTTTCCAGAAATGTTTACATGTACAATATTTGTAAATTGCCTATTCTATGTGATTTGTTTAGGCTTTTCTGTACTTTTGTTTGTTTTTTTGTTTTTGGGGAGAGAGACTTACTATGGCATTCAGTATGGCCTTGAACTCAACTATGTCGTCCAGACTCATGGCAATCTTCTGTTTTCAGATTCCTGAGTTCTGTATTACAGGCACACAGTACCACATCCAGCTGGTAGTTTTTAATGCTGAAATATTGTAGAACACATTTCTTAGAATATTCCATTCCTGTGGAATCAATACAATGCAAATAAGTTTTTGATACTTCTTTGTAATCATACATTCACAGAGGTTACCACTTATGTACTGGTTACATTTTCCTCTGATGTATTTAAAAGAATTTTGTTTCTTACAAGTTTTGTCATCCTTATTCCTCAAACTGTATTTTTCAAAGACCACAGGCTGTTAAATTGAGAAATTTAAATTTTTAACCAAAGTGGTATGTATGGTTTTTATGGATACAAGCATAGGAAAGAGATGCTCCATGAATAAGAACTTCAGGCAAGCAAGGCACAGTGGCACATGTGTAATCTTCGTATTTAGGAGGCAGAGGCAAGAGGATAGCAAGTTCAAGGCCAGCATGGGTAACTTAATGAGACCTTGCTTCACAATAAAAGCTAAAAACTGGTGCGGCTATAGCTCAGTGGTAGAGAGACCTTGGATTCCATCCTGAACACTGAGGAGGGCAAATCACTCCAGGCAAATTGTTGACCAAGATACATAACCTGAATGCACTGGCAGAAATGACATTCCCTTACTTCTACATCCATTTTTCTCAACAGGGATACTATAATATTTTGAAAATTTTTTCTTCTCAGGGAACTGTTTTGGGCATTTTAAGATGTGTAGAAACATCCCTGACTTCTGCCCACCAGATGATAGAGCCACCCTCTTCTGCAGTGCTGACAAACAGAAACGTCACAAACCTTCCCAAAAATTCCCTGGGGAGAAACAAGGAACCCACTTCCAGGTCTACACACACAGGAGGCATCATTTGTTAAATTTCTAAAAATATCCTTGGGAGTAGGGGTCCTTCAAATACTGGTCAAACTTTTATTTTGGATCTTCTACTTGATGCTATCTCTTTTTTTCTCTGAAGATGTGTCTAAATGTTTATGTTACTGACTGCAGTTCATAGCTGACTTTCTTTCCCTTTCTCAAGTAAAAGCACAGTTTTTCACCTGAGTTTTGAAAGGAATGGCCATATGCTACCTCCATTCACAGCCATCTACTGCAAAATAGAAATGGCTGTGAAACCACAGATAGTTTATTGAAAAATCTTGCAAGATAAACACCTCAAATTTCACAGATACAGGTATTCAAAGTGATCAGTTCGTAGTGCCCAGGGTAATTAAAAATATGTCAATTCCATTTTTCTGAAGTTATACATTGTTTCATTTGTTCTTGTTTTAGGACCAGGACATCCTACTTACCCCAGGGCCAAGAGTGCAAATCCAGGTTCCCCATCTGACTGTGCAGTCCCGCCACCCCACTATCCAGGTGCTGTCCAAGCCAGATTTCCTATGCAGAGTCAACCAATATATAATCATCCACCAAGTAGACCCACAGAGGTATGGTGGATGCCAGCACCATCACCTCCATTGTACTCCCCACCTGGACTGGAATATTTAAGCCAGGTAATTACTAAGCCATAAAATACTCAACAAAGACACAGCTGTGCTTCCAGTTCACTTAACTAGAATAATAGGGAAATACCTTACCAAGGTCTGAAATGATGAAACACTGTCTGCTAAAAGATTATTCTTCTAGGTCGGTTTCAATTTGTAAGGAAAATACAAATACGTGAGATCACCATGTTTTATATAATCTCAAATTCAATCTTTAATAATATTGAATAGCAGCATATTTTCACTGAACAGCTTTTGTCCTGAGCATGATACATATATTATCTCCCTTAATCCTTTATAGAAAATTCAATGATATACAGATGCTATAGTTATCACCATTTTTCAGAAGAGGAACTAACCAGAAGTTTTCTCAGGTTCTGAAAGCCGAGGCAGTGGGGTTGGTGTTTTAATCTGGAGTTTGGTTCTGAACTTAAACTCCAGTGCACTTTCAGTCCCAAACTGAATACTTTCCTGGAAAATTGAAAGAAATTTTCAATAAAATATATTGCTTAGTTTCAAAAAGTTGTGGCACACACCTGTAATTCAAGCACTTGAGAGGCTAAAGCAGGAGGGTTGCTGAGAGTTTGAGGCCAGCCTGGGCTACCGAGTGAGATCTAGACAGGTCTGAAATATATTGAGAAAGCCTGCTTCAAAAAAAAAAAAAGAAAAGAAAAATAAAGAAAGAAAAAAAAAGAATGAATGAAAGGGTACTACAAAACAAAAAATGTTTTGTGCATAATATGATTCACTTTTTTACAAATAATAAAAATAAATATTTATGATGCTCATTTTCCTCTGTGGAAGAGCTGATTTTTTTTTTTTTTTTTTTTTTGGATCGAGGATCAAACTCACGACCTTGAACTTGCCAGGCAGTTGCTTGGAAGACCTGATTTTGTAAACACCAACAATAAAACAGTGTGGAGAAAAAGCCAGTATTTTGTTCTACCAGCAGGACAGTGAAACTTGGCATATTGAGGTTTAACATTTGTTTGGTATAAAGGAATAAGAGTTCTGTGCCTCCAGCCTATAAACGCTAATAAATGTTGTATGATGTCAAATCAGTATTAAGTAAATCAGGTGCATCTCTAGCACACTTTACTAATTTTATTTTCCACAGTGAACTCAACCAGGATATAAGAAATTCATTTGTAACTAAATTCTTCAAAAAATACTCTGAAGAAAAAGTACTTTTAAATATTCATTTTCAAAACCAGGACTTGATAAAATATATACAGGAAATTATCACTTATCTTATATCAAGTACACTTACAAATATTTATAAATTTTTTATTATTTTGAAGGTAGTAAAGTATAACAGAACAAAACAGAATAAAGCCAGTTGAGAACTGCAATGAAATTGGTACAGAATTTCACAGCAGGTTACCAGAATAACAGTAATAGGTACCATAGTATATCTTGTTATCTTCACAGTAGTTCTTTCAACCAGGTATAGCAAAATCAAATGAAATGCAGAACAGTATAGAACATATCAAAGCAGAATATTAAATAGAGCAATACAGTTAATCAGAACAAAGCAAAACAGTGATAAAAATATTTGCTTTGAAAGAGATAGTGGAAGGAAATTCCCCCTATTCGCTATATTGCATATGGTCAGCCTCCCAAGAGTTGCTCAGATCTGGGGCTCCCATTTGCTAATAGGGAGGCAGGGGGGATGGGATGTTTGATTCTCAGCCTGCCCGCCCGCTGGTAGGTTCACGGCTGCTTACCAGGGAGGCAGGCTTGTTGCTTGGTTTCCAAAACGCCCTAAATTCCAACATTGCGCAGATCTCGGGTGACACTGGGTGGCTCTGTCCCTGGGGCGGTGCAGTGTGCCCAAGCCAAGACTGCTTACCACAGAGGCTTGGTTTCCCAGCACCCTAAGTTCCAACATGGTGTGGATCTTGGGAGACGCTGGATGGTTCTCTCCCTGGGGTGACCACAGCTTGCCCAAGCCACAACTGCTTACCAGGGAGGAGAGCTGGTTACTTGGTTTTAAATGAATAAAACAATGATCATTTCTTGAGTCTTTTTTACAAAGAAAATTGTTTTAGGAATTCCAACATCAATCAGTTTTATTTGACCTGAAGTTTCTCACATTAAGTGAAAAATTTCAATGAATACTTTACCTATTAACACCTAAGCAAAATATAAGCCTGAAATTCATAATGTTAAGCATTAATAATTAATTATAGGCACAAATTTTCTTTTTCTTATAACAGATAGATCAGATACTGATTCACCAGAAAACTGAACTTCTGGAAGGTAGGCATTCACTATATTGACTATTTTGCTAGAAAAAAATGGTTTTGCAGGCAAAAGCAAATCCACCACCACAAATATAACAGTCCAATGGGACAGTCAACAAGGTGATTTACAAATGTCATCTGCCTGAACAGAATTGCCTCTCTTTCTTTTCCTTTGTCTTTTTTCTCAATCTAGATTACTTCTAAATACATTTCTTCTTCCTCTTTTCTTTGTGTTTCTTGAAACATCATTTAACCTGGTATAGCTATTATTATATTATGTGATCGTCACTATCTTTAACAAAACTGTGATGATGAATTTGCCTTTTATGTTTTTAGCTTTAATAGGCTTTGAAACTTGTAACAAATTTGAAATTAAAAACAGCCTTGGGCAGAGGATATACCTCGCAGTGGAAGATTCTGATTGCTGCACCCGAAATTGCTTTGGACGAGCTAAGCCTTTCACCTTGAGGGTTCTTGACAATGTGAACAAAGAAGTCATAACTATAGAGAGGCCACTGAGATGTGACAGCTGTTGTTCCCCCTGTTGCCTTCAGGAGGTCAGTGTGCAGCCACCATGGCAGTTCATAAAATACTTCAGGAAGAATTTCCACCCCTCACTGAATGCAGACGTTATGATTATTACTACATTTACATATGTTCTTTTGCTACTGCAGATTAAAATCCAAGCTCCTCCTGGTGTTTCAATAGGTTACATTACTCAGACATGGCACCTCTGTCTGCCAAAGTATACTGTTCAAAACGAGAGGAGAGAGAATGTACTAAAAATTACTGGTCCATGTGTTCAATGCCAGTGCTGTACAGATATTGATTTTAAGGTAAGAATCGTCATAATGTTTATAGATCTGCTTTCCTTATGTAAAACAAATATAATTCTACAGAGTGTTACAAATATATCAAATACTTTTGTACTATCCAGAGGAGAAATAATGTGCTTACATGTTTAACATCACTCAGAGAGACATTCACTATTTTGATTAAAAGTCAGTGTTGACATGTTAAAAGAAGAAAAAAAAAAAAGAACTATGTGCTCAAATAAAAAATAAAATATATGACATTTACATATGATGATGTATCTATAGTGACACTACATAATCATTTATTTTAAAAAGAATTTTATCCTTGTCCTTCAAATCTGATTGTTGAAGTCTATGAATTTTTCCTTCATCTGTTACATAGGCTAACCTGTGCTCGGGGCCATGTTCAGAAAATCTGGCTTCCTACACAAATTAGGCAAAGATTGATTAATTTGTGTTTTGTTTTTGGTATCTGGAACTGAACTCAAACCATGTGCTTGTCAGGCAGGCACTATGTATGCTAGGCCCCATAGATTGTTTTCATAAGGTTAACACCGAAGAATTTTTTTTTTTCCCGCAGGTTTGCTTTTCACAGTTTCAGTTACCCCCAATCAACTTCGGCCTGAAAATATTAAATTGAGGACTCATAAATAAATAATTTTAAGTTTCATTGCATACCATTCTGAGTAGTGTAGTGGATCATATGCCCCATCCTGTTCCATCCAGCCTGGATATGAGCGATCCCTTTTTCCAACATAATCTCACTGGATGTGTGACCTGCTCACTAGGTCAGTAGCCTTCTTGGTAATAGTTGATTATCAGATCAACTATACTGGTATCTATCATACTGCTTGTGTTCAAGAACCCTAAATGAAGCATTCCAATGTACTATGCCTACAGTAGAAACATTCCTTCATGTGTACACACAAGCATTGTTTCATCTCACATCATCAGAAAAAGGATGAGAATAGTAGCATATTTGAAAGTGAAAGGAGATCAAATTTATATAACTTATTACAATATACTCATATTTTTATATTTTTCCATTTAATGATTAGTAATTATAGCAGTTCTCTTGCTGTGCCTTATAGGTATGCATGAACAGGGAAAAATATAGGGTTCAATACTATCTGCAGTTTCAAGCCCCATTTGTGACCCACAGACGAGGAGGAACTGCTGTGTAATACATATTCAACAATTATACATCTCTTCATCTCTGCTAGAGGTCATAAGAAGGATAAGCAAAACCCCTGTTAGATTTCTGTTTTGAAAGAAGCACAAAGTTTACATGGACTGCAAAATTCACCATCATTTTTAGCTTTTTAACTAAAAATCTAAAAATGTTCCTCTTCTGACAGTGGCAGGAGATGACCCACCATTATGTTTAATTTTGTAAATTATTGTAAACTCTTTGTTTCTGAAAATTGCCTCAAAGAATTTATGCTTTTCTTTTTTTCTGCTTGTATTTTGTTTTTGTCAATTTTAATAATTTTGTCAATTTAAATAATTTGTTATTTTGTCTTAATAATAAATAGAAAACATTAAACGTTTTATGAAGATTGCTTTCATATCATTTATCCATACTGTAAAACATTTTCCATATATCTAAAAGTTGTATTATACAAGAACCAATTAGATATATAACTAGGGTTATAGATCATAGCTACATATAGGTATATTAATATTGTGTTGATTTAATTTTACTGCATCTTTGGAAGCAGCTTTGTTATGAATTTTCTAGAAATCCTTAAGACTTTAACTTTTGCAATGTAGATTAAATCTCTTGATGAGCAGTCTACAGTTGGCAAGATTTCCAAGCACTGGACTGGATTTCTTAGAGAAACCTTTACAGATGCTGACAACTTTAGGATCCAGTTCCCTTTGGACCTTGATGTGAAAATGAAAGCTGTGATGCTTGGTGCATGTTTTCTCATTGTAAGTCTACTGTTTTAAGTCATGTTAATGTCTAAGTTATACAATGATGGGTCAGGTCAATGATGAAATGAACAAGGCTGGAAGCACAGAAAGGTTTAGGATGAAAGAATTGATGAGCACAGGGTACAATGTTCTATGTATAATGTGCCATACCTCTAACCTATCTGTCATTGTCCTGGAGAAAGTTGTATGTGGAACTCCTATCATGTCAGCAGAGAAGTTGGATTACTAGAGAAGGACTACAAAAAGTTAAGTCAGACAGAATGAAAAGGAAAAATTTCAGGAGCTTATAAAAATTGCTGTTTAGGGAAATTGCTAGGAAATTAAACATGCATATAGGTATCAATAGATAAGTATAGAATTTAGTAATTTAAAGGGTGAAAGCAGAATTTTTGTAGCAGAAGATTTTTAAGGTTTTACATATTATATTTAATTTTTACCATATATTATTGTGTGTGATCTATTCTCTTAGCTTTCTGTGTTTTACAACTTTTTCTGACTACTCATTTTTCTATTTTTGTGTTTTATCCAGGACTTCATGTTTTTTGAAGATAATGTTTGGAAATAACAAAAACCAAGAGCATGGTAGTGGAATGATGAAAGAAAATATCTTCACAAAAACTAAAGTCTATAATTGAGTCTATGTAAAAGAAAACTTAATAGTTGTCTTCTTTCTGTAAATCACACATATCTGTAAGAATAAAGCCATGATGCCTTTAGCTTCAGCTGTAGGTTTGTTTCTTTTGGATTTTAGAGTTTATTTTTATATCACATGCTATGATTTAGATCTAAAATATCCCCCAAAGTCTCATGCACTTAGAAGGGCTTTTGAATGTGTTAAGGGATTTGTAGCTGCGTTGCTGTAGACGGTGGTGTCTGGTCAGAGGAGGTGAGCAAGTGGGGAGTGTCCTGGAAGAGTTTATGTCCCCGCTATCTCTTCCCTCCTCTCTCTGCTTCTGCTCATGCCACGTGAAATTCTTGTCTGCCTTCCTGCCTTAGAGCCAGTTAATTATGGATTGAGACATGAGCCAAAACAAACCTGTCCTTCTTTACACTGAAAATCTTGGGACTTTCATCCCAGCAACATGGGAAGACCCTGAGAGATCATCACTTCATATATTTCTTATACTTTTTAAAGTATACACTATACATTGTGGGGAAAAAGGACAGAGGTGATTTCACAGTTAGAAATGACACCTGCAAAAAGCTGTTTTGAATTGCAATCTCTGATTCATGTTGCATTTTTCCTACCAAAATTAAACCCTTACTAGAGTTAAATTTAATGTAAAAATAGATTATCCTACTAAATCTTCTTACAACTTGTTTCATACAAAAAAACCTAATGTGGACTGGTGATGGTACTCAGTGGTACGATGCATGCCATATGATACAATGCAGGACACTGGCTTCCATCCTTAGTGCTATAAAAGAAAAAAACATTTTAAAAGCCTTTAATGTTACTTTTTAAGTACTATCAATTAAAAAGTTAACTCAGCCAATTTTTTGTCTATTACTGCACAACATGGATTTTTTTTTTTTCATGTTTGAAACCTTTTATTAAACAGGCGGTGCATTGTGCAATAGTTGAGGACACAGTTGCCCAGTGGAAAAGCTTAAAAATTATTTTTGGAAACAGTCAATGGATTGAGAAACCCTGCTATGTTCCTTTTATCCCTCCTTAAAAGTGGCTTTCTTCAGCAAATGAGATTGTGGTACAGCTGCCTTTGGAAACGCGTCCCTGTTTTATCCTGAACGTCATGCCTAACAGTAAACAGGAAAGAAGACAGGCAGGGCAGTGGTCAGACACAGGCTGATCTTCAGGGGAAGGGCAAAAGTGGGCAAAAATGGTTTCAGCCTTAGTCTTTTGGGGTGTCTCATTTATAAATCCACCTTTCATTTCTTCCATTTTATGCTTTGTCAGGGGTCTCTTTTCCCAGGGAATTTTAAAAGGCTCACATTCATGCCCCTGGGCACAGGTCCTGGTTGCTTTCACTGTGGGTTTTGTTAGGGTCCCTCCAGTCCAGGGTTAGAGCTGTGTTTGTTCTCTTCGCTTTGCTTGGTTCCTTCCTCTTCCCCAAGCTGGTCATAACTTGCTGATAAAATCAGTCTTCAGCTGCATAGTCTGTTTACATGGCAGTTTTTAACTACATAGCCTGTTAAGGAAATGGACTTTCTGCATCAGCGTACTGCCAACCTACTTCATGATCCGGGCCATGTCTTTGAAGATTGAGATGTCTTTCTGGCGAGTTTGCTGCAGGAGGGCTGATCTACATTGATATCACTGGCTCTCTTCAGCGGATGCAACTTCTCTGTCATCGCTGTAGCCTGAGCTGCCAAGTTTTGATGCCACAGGGAGATTCTCTTTCTCAGGTCCTCTGTGAGGTTTACTGTGGCTCCCTGGGTCACCATGGGCTTAGCAGGAGTCAGGAGTCTTACTACAGACAAAGTCAGCCTGTTGCATGGGCTCCTGGGCTCTCTCAGGTGCCTTGGTTTACTTTCCTGTTTTAGGGTCTGCATCCCGGACAAGTCTTCCTGGCTCGGCGGCTGTTCGGGGGTCCCCTTGTTGCTTCTGTCAGTTCCTGGTGATTCAGGGTATTGAGGGCTGCGTCAGCTCCAGGACATGGTGCTGCCTAGGCGAACCCTTCTCAGCTCCTCTGTGCCCGGGCTTCACCACTCTGCTGTCCTTCCTGGAGTCCGCAGGCAGAGTTGCTTCTCGGGCTCTCTGGGCTGACACCCTACAAGTAGGCCAGGGTGAGGCTCTGCAGCATGGCTTCCTGGACAGGGCCGGTTGGAACTGGGCTACTCGGGGTGAGGGAGCACGCCTTCCTCTTTCCCTGGCTGTTGGGGTACCTGGCACCTCAAAATACAGAATGAAGGCCCTGTTGTGACCCTGTTCATCTTTGGGGAGCAAGGCCAGCTCTCTTTGTAACCTGACTTTGGCACTGTACCTTTTGACCCGCACCTCTACACACACCCGGGTGGAACTGGGGACTGAACTCAGGGCCTTGCCATGCTGAGCAAGCACCCCCACCCCTGCTAAGCTACCTCCCCAGCCAACAATCCTCATTTTAAAGACTAACTTCCTCTAAAACTATTTCTGATACAGTGTTTGAAGTTAATATTTATACCTGAAATGTTTTTCTCCTGTATTTTAACAATCCCAGAACATGGTAACATTACTCAGGTGTTAATAAATGAACCAAATATATTTATTTAGAATGCAAACTTCAACAATAGCCAACTGGGTCATAACAACAATCAAATACCTGAAATAAAAACTTTTTGATATTTATTTTGACATTCTCGATTTTGATTTTTAGTCAAAATGTGTTCAATCAATTCAGTGGGTCCTCTGGATCCTTAGATGTGAACACAATTTCCTCCCATCCCCATTCAACATCTCCTTTAAAAGAGCACAGGCATGCCGTGGTTTGAAGTACAATCTCTACCAAGGCTGCAGACTAGGATTTTGCTGTCACAGAGTAACAACTTTGTAGTACGTTTTGTATGGAAGAATGGATTAAGAAAAGAAATGAACAAGCCATAATCCCCCTCCTGCTAAGACAAAATAGGCTCAGGAAATAAAAGTCCTGTGGGATACTTTCATCCTGGACAAAATTCCACCACAGCATTCTCCTCACCAGAAATGTGAGTGCCAGCAGAAGTCTATGATACTAGTGTCTCCAAAAGGCAGTTAAGAAGAACATTGATAGGGCAGGGGAACTGCAAGAGAAGCAGTCTTGTCACCACCCAGAAGCCTGAACAGTTCATCGAGTGCCATATTCCATAGAGGAAATGGAACCACGGAAAACATCTAGCTCATTCTGGGACAGGTAACATGCCAAGTAAAGAAGAAGTATGTCGTATCTCAAGTCATTAGCTGTGCCAATTAGAAGAGAAGCAGTCCAAACTGGTTAACAGGTGGCAAAAGCAACCCAAAATGAGTCTTAAAGGTAATAACATCTCTGTGACAACTGTTTTAACTCATTTCTTCTATGTCTTCCATGCATAATTCTGAGTTTTCAGTTAAGCAGAGCAAAACCAGATAATGTACATATTTCCTTCAACTCTGCAAAGATTTGAGCAGAGATTGGTATAGTATCATTACAACCTATTTACCTTCTGACACTAGACAAACTTATCCTCATGCAATACTCATGTAGTGAAAGAAATCATCAAATATAAAAAGTTAGCAAAATTGAGCTACTATTAGAATAAGTGACTTAATTTCTAATTTCAAAGAGATTTTTGTGTTTGTATTTGTTTCTACTGAACAGTTGTAACAATGCACAAGAGTCTCCCTAAAAGCTAAGGATGGAAAAAAGGAGTTGTGATAGGTGTGACGGATTTCCAATCTTGAGAAGAAAGTTGGGTGTGGGTGGTGAGTGGGTAAGGGGTGCGGATGGAGAGCAGGGACAAGTGAAGGACAAAGGAGCCAGTATGTCATAAGCACCCTGGAAGAGGCTGAGACGTGGAGGAAGAATAAAGAGGGAATGGAGAAAAAATATGGGAGAGAAATAAAGTATTAGGAACAGGAGGCTAAATTCGCCAGAAAATAACTGCCTTGGCTGCTTTCTGCTGCCCAGATATTAGGGTTTTAGTTACAACCACAATTTTAAGTAGTAAAAACTCAATCAAGAAATCTTGCCATATTTGAGGAAAATACAATCTAAAATGCGTCATGGCACAGTTACGTATCCCTGATACTACAGAGTACCAGAGAGGTGCACAGAGGCTTCTTCCAACTGCTACCCTGTCCTCGTCAACCTCATGACTTTCCTAAAATGTTTTTACATCTATATCTGCCCCTTTCAAGTTATGTCTCTCTGTGTACCCTAAATTTATTCATGGGTCAGTACTGTAGTTGTTACAGGAGTGCTGGGGTGTCATGGGCTGCTTCTAGAGATGTTGAGCTCTTACTTGATCAAAACAAGTGAAGATCTATATTTACTAAAGGTGTTAAAGGAAGTAAAAGAAACATGCTTTGCAGAATGAGTGCAGGTAATTATAAGGAGGGAAGAAGTACAGAATGGGTCACTGCCTCAAGGTTAACGGCTGCTATCTTTTGTATCCTCTCCTCTTGCTGACACCTCATCTAGGCTGTTCTGTCAAAAACTTGCTTGATCTCTCAGGAGAAAAATCAAAGATGACACTTTCTTTTGTTGTTGCTGTGTTTTGTTGTCTTGTTTTGTTTTTGAGACAGGGTCTCCTGATGCGATTCGGGCTGGCCTTGAACTCACTAGTAATCCAGGCTGACCTCCAACTTGCAGCGACCCACTTGCCTCAGCCTCCTTAAGGGTACTTTCTAATTGGTCCCAGGTGTGGGGCTATGGGAATTGTTTTCCTGGACATGTGCCCTAGACTTCCATGACTGAGAGGTCACGTCTACTTGCCCAACATTTTGCTACCCCCTAATCTCCTGCCTCATAGTTGTCAATAGACAGTAGTAACAACTTTAAACTGTTGTATGAATTTTCATCTAATTTGGGTACAGAGAACAATAGTGGAAAATATAAAAGGGTATGCATTGATAATGTTCAATGGTTTTTTAATTACAGAGAAGTAGAAAAATTTGGCCAAGTTGGATCGCTATATTATGTGTTTTAGTGGCACATAAAATTCACTGTGAGCCCTAAAACTAGTACTGAAGATAACAGTAACATGTGAACACAATGGAGTTAACTTTCCTTT